ATTTTTAGTAGAGATGGGGTTTCACCATGTTGGCCAGGCTGGTCTTGAACTCCTGACCTCAGGTGATCCACCCGCCTCAGCCTTCTAAAGTGCTGGGATTACAGGCATGAGCCACCGCCCCTGGCCACTCTCTGCATTTTTAAGCATGTGCAGCAAAAATTCAGCACTTTTTCTGGGCCACTGACTTTGTGTCCAGCCCCACTGCTTGGCCTGGGCACACCTGCCAACTCCACGTTGGAATGGTACACACTGTTTCTACAAAGTGACGTCTTTCAGCTACTTCGTGGCTTTTTGTATATACATACCCTTGATGGCCTGGGCAGTTTCATGAGTGTTCTCAAAGTGGACACAAAGATTTGAACCTCTTGATTTGCATGATTTTTTGGGGTTCTCTGGGTCAAGTGAATAGCGAACCATTTTCCCAGATCACCTCAGGCCACTTAGGGAAAGAGTGTGCATTTGTTTTATGTGGTTTATTGAATCTGGCTGTGTGCATGCATCTATGGATGCTTTATTTTACGATTTTTATGTGTGTGTGTGTGTGTGTGTGTGTGTGTGTGTGTGTGTGTATATATATATATATATATTTTTTTTTAGACAGAGTTTCACTCTTGCTGCCCAGGCTGGAGTGCAATGGCGCAATCTCGACTCACCACAACCTCTGCCTCCCAGGTTCAAGTGATTCTCCTGCCTCAGCCTCCCGACTAGCTGGGATTACAGGCGTGCACCACCACGCCTGGCTAATTTTGTATTTTTAGTACAGATGGGGTTTCTCCATATTGGTCAGGCTGGTCTTGAACTCCCGACGTCAGGTGATCTGCCTGCCTCAGCCTCCCAAAGTGCTGGGATTACAGGCGTGAGCTACCGGGCCCGGCCATAGTAAAAATATTTTAGAACCGGGTGCAGTGGCTCGTGCCTGAAAACTCAGCACTTTGGCAGGCCGAGGCAGGTGGATAATGAGGTCAGGAGATTGAGATCATCCTGGCTAACGCCAGGTGAAACCCCATCTCTACTAAAAATACAAAAATTAGCCGGGCGAGGTGGCGGGCGCCTGTAGTCCCAGCTACTCAGGCGGCTGAGGCAGGAGAATGGCGTGAACCCGGGAGGCGGAACTTCCTGTGAACCGAGATTGTGCCACTGCACTCCAGCCTGGGCGACACAGTGAGACTCCGTCTCAAAAGAAAAAATGTTTATTTTTTTTTAAACATTCCAATGGAGGCTCATGCCTGTTATCCCAGTATTTAGGAGGTTGAGGCAGGAGAATCACTTGAACCCAGGAATTTGCGACCAGCCTGGGCAACATAGAGAGACCCTGTCCCTACAAAAAATGAAAAACCTGCTGGACATGGTAGCACGTGCCTGTAGTCCCATCTACTCGGGAGGCTGAGGTGGGAGGATTGCTTGAGCCTGGGAGTTCAAGGCTGCAGTGAACCGTGGTCTTGCCACAGCACTCCATCCTGGGCAACAGAGTAAAACTCTGTCTCAAAGGAATGAAGAAAAAAATTCCAATGGAGTTTCTGTGGAGAAACTCAACAGAATTCCACAGTTTTAACTGAAAGAATCAACCAATTAAAATAGCCAAGGTTTTTTTTTTTTTTTTTAAGTATCGTATATTAAAATACATTTAAAAAATATTACTATATTCTGGCCAGGTGCTATGGCTCACACCTGTGATCCCAGCACTTTGTGAGGCCAAGGCAGGTGGATTACTTGAGCCAAGGAGTTGAAGACCAGCCTGGGCAAAGTAGTAAAAGCCCGTCTCTACTAAAAAAATTAGCTGGGCGTGGTGTCACACACTTGTAATCCCAGCTACTTGGGAGGCTGAGGCAGGAGGATCACTTTAACCCAGGAGGCGGAGTTTGTAGTGAGCTGAGATATTGTGCCACTGCACTCTAGCCTGGGCAACAGAATGAGACCCTGTCTCAAAAAAGTAAAAAAAGCATTATTTCAGCAAACATTTATTAAGCATCTACTGTGTGCTAGGGTCACTGGATAAAGCGGTTACCAAAACCAGTTTCCTATTCCCGTGGTGCTGACACTTAATTTAGAGACGGAGTCTCACTCTGTCGCCCAGCCTGGAGTACAGTGGCACAACTGTAACCTCTGCCTCCCAGGTTCAAGTGATTCTCCTGCCTCAGCCACCCAAGGAGCTGGGATTACAGGCGTGTGCCACCATGTCCGATTAATTTTTTGTATTTTCTTTTTTTTTTTTTTTTTTGTAGAGACAGAGTCTCACTCTGTTGCCCAGGCTGGTCTTGAACTCCTGGGCTCAAATGATCCTCCCACCTCAGCCTCAGGAAGTGCTAGGATTACAGGCATGAGCCACCCCACCCGGCCTTGGTGCGTATACTTTAGTGAGATAGCAAGCAGATAAACCAGTAAATAACCAGCCAGGCATGGTGGCTCACGCCTGTAATCCCAGCACTTTGGGAGGCTAAGGCAGGCAGGTGCCTGGCAATAACAGAGTCTGCTTTTGTTTTTCAGATAGTAAAAGTAGCTATTAGGTTAATGAAATAGAGTGATGAGAAAAATACTAAGTGGGGAGGGGCTGTGTCAGGCATTTAGCAGGCAGCAACACAAAAGCTGAACTTCAGAAAGTAGTGAAGGCCGGGCGCGGTGGCTCACACCTGTAATCCCAACACTTTGGGAGGCTGAGGCGGGCAGATCACTTGAGGTCAGGAGTTCCAGGCCAGCATAGCCAACATGGTGAAACCCCATCTCTGCTAAAAATACAAACATTAGCTGGGCATGGTGGTGTGTGTCTGTAATCCCAGCTACTCGGGAGGCTGAGGCAGGAGAATAGCTTGAACCCGGGAGGCAGAGGTTGCAGTGAGTGCCACTGCACTCCAGCCTGGGACTCCGTCTCAAAAAACAAAAACAAAACAAAACAAAACAAAAAACAGTAGGGGAGCCTCAAAAAGTACCTGCGTGTACAGGTGCAAGGAAAAGCACTTCAGGTAGGTGGAACCTCATGTGCAGAGGCCCTGCGATGGGGAAGATCCGGGTCCTGGTACTTCACCCAGGCACTGCAAAATAAATGCCAGTTACAGAAATCCCACTGGGTTACTCTTCTACTCATAGTTCTCCCATGGCTCCCTCGTGCTTGTGGATCAAATCCAAGCTCCTTGGCCCGGCGCTGGGCAGGGACTTGACCTCTGCTGGGATAGAAATGCCACCAGCCCGCGCTCGGCGACCGTCACTCCAGGTCCCGCCCCCAGTCACGCCCTACATTCCAGGCCCCGCCTGCCTGTCCCACCCCACCGTCCCATTGGATGGCGTGGAGGGCCTCAGGGGCTGGTTGGGTGGCATGGCCGTCAGTTAGGGCGAGGGCCTTGATAATCAGTCCCCGGACTTCGAGGGGGCGGGCTCGGGTGCGGGCGCGGCTGGGGCTGCGGCTTCAGGTAAATCGCCAGCTTGCGGGGACACGGATGGGGGATCCCTGGGAGGTTGGATTCGGGGACGCACCGGGACCCGGCGCTACGCTGCGTTTCCAGCCCCACTGCGGACTCTGCCCGCTGCGACGGGGCGGGCGCCGTGTCCTCGGGCCGGGACCCCTCCCACATTGGGAGACCCAGGTGGGTAGCGAGCAGAGTGGGGGGCTCTGGAGGCGTGGGCTCGCCCCCCTCTCGCCCTTCGGGAGCTCACTGAGGGGCTTGTTCGCTTCCTAATACCACAACCGGCTCTGGGACCCTTTCCCGGGACGGCTTGGGGACCCCATCCAGCCCCTCGCGCTGGGCTGGGTGTGGGAGCGTGACACGGAAACGGTGTTTTGGGGAGGGACGCACGGCCCCCGGACCCGCAGACAATGGGTAGCGGATGGGACCGCCCGGCGGCGCTTCCTGTAGGAAACTGCTCTGTCTCTGTGCGGCTAGGAAGACCTGGGGGTGGACGGGTGATGATGACTTTAGCACCCCCCTTCCTGCCGTCACCAACGCCCCCCCCCCACCTCAAGAGTCTGAGAGTCCCAGCAAACATCAGGGGCTGCCAGTACTCAGGGCCTCCTGGAAGGCGCCCTCTCCCCAGGACTGGGATCCTCACTGGCCTGCCGTGGCCCCCCCACCACTCCGGTTTGGTGATCACAGCTCTACGTCCCAAAATAGTCCCTGGGGCGGGAGAGGGGGCGTATGGCGTCGGCTCTGACGGCCTAATGAGGGGGTCTCAGGCAGAGAATCCGGATCTAGCCGTGACAGCCAGGGCAGGGAGCGGAGGAGAGGGAAGGCAGCTCCACGCCCCACTCCAGTCCACCCCCAATCAGGGACACCCACAGAGTCTGACACAGGTGTAGGCTGGGAGGGACAAGCTCCCTAAGGCTCCCTGCTCTTGCTGGTAAGGGGAAGGGGCTGTTTCTAGAAAGCATTCAAGTCCAGCCTTGGTGGTTCATGACTGTAATCCCAGCACTTGGGGAGGTCGAGTACGGCTGATCTCTCGAGGTCAGGAGTTTGAGACCAGACTGACCAACATGATGAAACCCCGTCTCTACTAAAAATTCAAAAATTAGCCGGGTGTGGTGGCAGGTGCCTGTAATCCCAGCTACTCAGGAGGCTAAGGCAGGAGAGTCGCTTGAACCCTGGGCTCGGAGGTTGCAGTGAGCCGAGATCCCACCACTGCACTCCAGCCTGGGTGACAGAGACTCCGTCTCAACAATAAAAATAAAAAAAAGAAAGCATTCAAGTGTAGTGGCCAAAGCAAGGACTCTGGAAGACCTGCCTGGGTTTAAATCCTGCCTCTCCCTGTTTGTGACAGGACACAGGCAGAACACTAAACTGTTCTGTGTCTGTTTCTCCATCTGTACAATAGGGGAAGGGACAATGGTCATAGGAAATCCAACCTCAGTGGATTTAGCTAGGATTTAAAAAAAATTAGTCAAAATCAGGTGCAGTAGCTCACGCCCGTAATCCCAGCACTCTGGGAGGCTGAACTGGGGAGATTGCCTGAGCCCAGGAGTTGGAGGCCAGCCTGGGCAACATAGCAAGACACCTGTATCTACAAAAAATAAAATTAGGCCGGGCATGGCTCACACCTGGTTTGAGACCAGCCTGGCCAACATGGTGAAACCCTGTCTCTACTAAAAATACAAAAATTAGCCAGGCATGGTGGTGCACACCTGTAGTCCCAGCTACTTGGGAGGCTGAGGCAGGAGAATCACCTGAACCTGGGAGGCGGAGGTTGCAGTGAGCCGAGATCGCACCACTGCACTCCAGCCTGGGCGACAGAGCATGACTCCATCTAAAACAAACAAACAAAAAATTTAAAATATTAGCCTGAATTAGCCAGGTGTAGAGGTCCATTCCTGTAGTCTCAGCTATTTGGGAGGCTGAGGTGGGAGGATCACTTGAGCTCAGGGGTTCAAGGCCACGGTGAGCTATGATGGAGCCACTGACTCCAGCCTGGGTGACACAGCGAGCAAGACCTTGCCTCTTAAAAAAAAAAAAAGTAAATATCCATAAATTCCTTAGACTAGAGGCTGGCCCATAGTAAATGTCAAAAGTGTTGTTATTATTTGATATTCTGGAGGAATCCATTCCTTTCTTAGCCCAGCCTCTGGATGCAACTGCTTCAGCTAGTTTAGGTCTTAGGAATGACCCACAGCTGTCTTCTGAGATCCCAGGGCCTGGGATTTGGGTGTGACCAGGTCACCGGAGAAGGACGCTGACCCCATTGCGTCATACAGCCAGCTGTGTGAGAAGCAGACCCAGACCCCCCAACCCTTGATCTGGACTCTTTCCACAACCCAGTTCTTCCCTGGCAATTTCCTGAAAACAAGTGATGAACGGCATTGGCTGTCCTCTGCGATGACCCGCTGGCCTGTTGACCCACCCCTTGCAGCCGGTGTGAAGGGACGGGAAACAGCTGCTTGGGGACTGGAAAGGGCCCCCTGCCTGGCCTTGGAGTGGGAAGGGAGGGGTCAGGGACCTCGGCCAGACAGAAGTGGGAGGTGGGGTGAGGGTTTCCCCAGCAGCGGAGTAGGGTAATGAGTCAGGAGGGCTGGTGGGTGCTCAATGCTTGGTAGTATCAGGCACACAGGTGGTCACCAGGGATTCGAGAAGCCAGAAGGCGTGGCTGGGAGTGTTGCCATGTGGTTAACCCAGATGGGCAGTGGCCCAGGGACAGGATGAACTGGGTCTGGCAGACGCCTGTCAGTGGAGGACTGGACAGGTAAGGGGCAGTGAGAAGCTGTGGCAGGGACCTGCTGGCAAGGGGTCCGCAGAAGATGGGCAGAGCCCAATCTGAGGGTGCTTCCCACAGGCAACTGATTTAATTGTTCTGTGCCTCAGTTTCTCCATCTGCAAAATATGAATAATAATACTACTTTGCAGTATGCAAAGTGTTGTATGGGGGATGTGTGTGTGTGTGTGTGTGTGTGTGTGTGTGTGTGTGTATGTATATATATATATATATAGACTTTTTTTTTTTTTTTTTTTTTGAGACGGAGTCTGGCTCTGTCCCCTAGGCTGGAGAGCAATTGCACAATCTCAGCTCACTGCAACCTCTGCCTCCTGGGTTCAAGCGATTCTCCTGCCTCAGCCTCCTGAGTAGCTGGGATTACAGGCATGCACCATTGTGTCCAGCTATGGGGATTACATGTAATCAGGCAGGACACACCATAGGCACTTTCCCCTCCCCGAAGGTTGTCCATATGGGCTTTCCAAAGCCCATCTTTCCCACTCTGTGCTCCCGTGCTTTACTTTTCTTTTCTTTCTTTTTTTTTTTCTTTTCTTTTCTTTTCTTTTTTTTTTGAGACAAGGTCTTGCTCTGTCACCCAGGCTGGAATGCAGTGGCATGATCATAGCCCACTGCAGCCTGCATCTCCTGGACTCAAGAGATACTCCTGCCTCAGCTTCTTGAGTAGCTGGGACTACAGGTGCATGCCAACACATCCAGGAAATTTGTGTGTTTTTTGTAGAGATGGGGTTTTGCCATTTCTTTTATTTATTTATTTATTTATTTATTTATTTTGAGATAGAGCTTCGCTCTGTTGCCCAGGCTGGAGTGCAATGACTCGATCTCAGCTCACCACAACCTCTGCCTC